AAAAAAAAAGGTGTTTGCACCACCACTGCCCGGAAAACTTTCCGGTGGCGGCTAGGGGGTTTCAGCCCGGGCTGGGTGACGCTTGCTCTCCCTTTGCCGCGGGACGGACGTGTTAAGTCCTGCCTCCCTAATTCTACACCTATGACCTTATCCTGTCTGGAGTCAGGCGCTTTGACTCCGTGCCCTTGCGTGCAACCGAGGCTGGGGAACCTCCTCCCCGCGAGATCCCCGTGGGCACCAATCCCCCCGAGATGGGGGCTCCGGAGGGAGCAACGCAGCGCGCACCGAGTCTTAAATGCAGAGGGAGAGACAGACCATTCTTCATACGCCCGGGCTGTTATCGCTAATTTTTTGGAAAACTGCCTGTGTATACACATATTACATGTATTATGGGGAGGGTTAGTGCAAGACGAAGCATACCGAACAACAGTCGTGGAGGTGGGGGGCCTATGCTCCAACTGCCTGGTAATTTGTAACAGGCAGACTTTCTTGCTGGGAGAGGAAAGGAGTAACTGTGTAGCTGAAAAACAAATTTAACTCCGTCTGCGTTGATCCAATGGGAATCTGCCCGTGGGGTGTGATTGCAATGCCATTTTTAAACCTGAGATTTAATTTCATATTTGGAGCTACCTGGAATGTCCACATGTACACATCATCCCCGCATAGGATGTGTTAGAACCACACATGCATATTCTATTATGTTTAAATAATGCAATAGAATATAGCCTCTGAGTGGGACCCATACGTGGCTTCCCAAGCATTAAGGAGATCTAAAAATGAACCCTAGAAAGGTATGTGACTCTGTTCTCAGAAAGCTAGGCCCCTCCTCTCCTCCAGATTCAGTTTGGGGCGATCGTCTGATATCCCAGAAAAGAGGGATTTCCTTCGCCCCTCACCCCTCCCGAACCTGATCTCTACGACCAAAAAGAGTTTATAGTAAGTCAGCTCCAATATCCCTGTTACAGAAATCTGTCTCATTCCCTAAAAATTAAAAGTATCATAACCCACCCTCAGAAGGCGTTTCAAGGGCCCCAACAATTCTCGAATTCTGGATGGAGAAATGAAATAGAGGCCCCTGTCCTGGTTAATCCCGGCATTAAGACACGGACGTAAAAGTGAGTCCAACATCGTATTTTAACTTGTCTAATAGAAAACTCCTAACTTGACCCCACCGTTCTTCCTCCTCCCCACTTTGCTCTAAAATACTAGCATCTTGCCGGGGTGGGGTGGGGGTGAAATGAAGTCGCTTGGAAAGGGAAGGAAAGAAAGAAAGAAAGAAAGAAAGAAAGAAAGAAAGAAAGAAAGAAAGAACCCAAGGCATTATTTACACCTGCAAACCTGGATGGCTGCATTCGGCCCCAATTGGCTTAATTGTAAATCTTTTCCTCATGGCCCCAATTCCTGGACGGAGCGTCTGGGTTTAATAATGCGCCCGGGCACCCCAGCAGGGCCGAGCTGGAAAGAGAGAATCCCCCCCACCCCACCCCCACTCAGCTCAGAGGTAATTAGAGCACCACGACCCCCCCACCCCCAAACTACCCAAACCCTGCTTGAGGTACCAGAAGACCAGAGTCAGACATGTGGGGGACTCCTATTTTACCGTCTGAAGACGAGAGCAGCTATTTCAAAAGCAACTGTACCCCTCCAAGTCAGAAGTGGGGGGCAGCGCACCCGCCTCTGGCTCCCGGCCCTCTCCCCCAGCGCCCCCAGCGCCCCCAGCGCCTTTGGCTTGCAAGGGGGCGAGTGGGAAAGAGGCGTCTGCACTCGGATCCAGACACGGCCTCAAACTCCCTCGGCTGGCAGTGTAGGGCTGACCTGTTTATAGAACTCGCTGCTAAGAAAACATGTAAAAACACACCCCAGCGGTGGGAGAGGAGAACGTTCCCTCGCACCCCACCCTCCTCCCTTTGTACGCGAAGATTCTCTCCCGGCTCTGCTCGGCGGCCTCCGAGCCCTGCTTTTCTCCCCGGGAGGCTATCTCCTCGCAGTGGGTTTTCCATCACTTTGAGAGCCGGAGAGCGCTGCGTTTCT